AGGACCCTGGGATCATGACCTGAGCCAAAGTCAGACACTTAACGACTGAGCCACCCAGGCACCCCTCTTGTGAAATGACTCTTATTTCATAGATAGAACTTAGATTTTAGACACCTTCAAACTTTCACTCAGTCCCCCATCACCACAATTTTCAACATGCTCCAATATTTCTCAACCTTAGTCTGAGAAAAATTTTTTTCCTTTTCCAACTCTAGATTCATTCATTCATTCAATGATCACTGAGAGCCACATGCGTCCTAAAACACTGTGCTATATGCTGAGGATATTAGAGATGAAGAAGATGTAGACCCTATGCACAAGGAGCTTAAAATCAGATAGAGGAGACAGATATTATGGTGTAATGACTGAAATATGCATGGAGCATTATAAAAGTGTGAGGAGAAAAGCCACTTACCTCAACTTTCATGGGAAGGAGATGGTGTCATGAGGGATGTTTCAAATGGGGTGGTGGCTTGAGCTAATCCTTACAGTGTCAGTGGGTGTTAATTAGGCAAAGTTGGAGTGGGAGGAGACTGGAGGGTCAAGGACTAGAGGGCAGGGAAAAGTGATATTAAATATAGGAAGAGGGTATAAGTAAAAACAGGAAATTGAATTGTTCTTATTCTTGACTGTGTCCCAGACTTCGTTATGTGGCCATCCCACAGAAAACCTCAAACTAACACATTTTCCCCAAATTTCCTTCTCCTTTTTTAATTCTTTATCCTACTATAATTCCTCTTGTTCCCTCCCCTCCATGATTCAACTTGTAACTAACTTCTGTTGATTCTACAGCATCAACATTTCTTGTATGCCTGTTCTTTCTCCATATTTGCGTAGCATCAGTGTGATAGTCTCTAAATGACCTCACATCTGTGCTCCTCTTAGAAAGAGTGATCTTTCTAACATGCACAACTTACTACACCACTGCCTGGTCAAGCTGTGGCTCCCCCACACTCCAGCATGATAGGAAAAACTTTTCCCACCCAGCCCCTGGTCCCACCTTTGCATCCTTACTGGTCCCTGGCCATTTGTTCATGCTCCTAGGCTCTGGCATGATCAACTATCAGCAATTTTTTGATATGCCCATATTGTTTTATACTTAGATGTCTTCCCCCTCCCCACAGGTACAAGAACATTTTAATGCAGCATCTTAATATGGACACATTTTAATGCAGTCCAAAACAACCAGCAAACATTTAACCTATTCTTTTTTTTTCTCTTTCCTGAATAATGACTATAATAGACAGGCTTTTTTGATTTTTAATTTATTACTTAAATATAACATACAGTGTTCTATTAGTTTCAGGTGTACAACATAGCGATTTGACAATTCTATATGTTACTCAGTGCTCACCTAAGTGTAGTCACCATCTGTCACCATAGCACGCTATTACAATATTGACTGTATTCCCTATGCTATACTTTTCATCTCTGTAAGTTATTTATTTTTTAACTGGAAGTGTGTATCTCTTAATCCCCTTCGCCTATTTTGCACATCTTCTATCTACCTCCTCTCTGGCAACCACCAATTTGTTCTCTGTATTTAAGGGTTGGTTTGCCTCTTTGTTTTTTTGTTTTTTGTTTTTTTTTAGATTCCACACACAAGTGAAATTATGTGGTATTTATCTTTCTCTGACCTATTTCACTTAGCATAATACCCTCTAGGTCCACCCATGTTGTTGTAAATAGCAAATTTATTTTTCTTTTTTACGGCTAAGTAATATTCCTATTGTGTATGTATACCACACTTCTTTATTCATCTATCAATGGACACTTAGGTTGCTTCCATATCTCAGCTATTGTTAAATAATGCTGTAATAAATACAGGGGTGCATATATCTTTTCAAATTAGCGTTTTCCTTTTCTTTGGGTAAATACCCATTAGTGGAATTATTGGATCATATGGTATTTCTGTTTTTAATTTTTTTGAGGACCCTCCATACTGTTTTCCAGAGTGGCTGCACCAATTTACATTCCCACCAACAGTGCATGAGTATTTTTTTTCCTCTTGTTACTTCTTTTCTTTTTGATACTAGCCATTCTGGCAGGTGTGAGGTGATATCTCATTGTGGTTTTGATTCAAATTTCTCTGATGATTAGTGATATTGAGCATCTTCAATGTGTCTGTTGATGTAATAGACACTCTTAACTCATTCCTTCACCTTTCCCTTTTATTCTTTCCAGGGTGATGATGACACCAATGACCTCTGACAGATTAACTCCCCATTTTAATCTTCCATCAACGGTTGTAAGTTACCGTAAGTGTCCTGCTTCAAGTTACATTGCTTCTAATGCTTTATATGCCCTTCCCTTTCACTTGTCTTCCTAGGGCCTCCCTACTCACCATTTATTACCACCCCCCATTCTCGCACACTTAGAAATCCCAGTTACAATCTACGACTCTCTGTGCCCTGACTCTAATCTCTATATTCACTTCAATTGACACCTCTCACACTTTCATGTTCCCACCATAAGACTTAATATTTCTGAGGACAGGGCTCATTCATTTCTTAATTTCTAGCACCTCCTACATTTTTAGAACAAAGTAGACACTTCATAAATTAATGCTAAATTGACAAATGAAGGAAGGAATGGGATCCAAAGGCAAAAGACTCAGTAAGGAGCTTGGTACTTTTGAATTCAACCCAGAATAAAACTAGAGTGTTTGAATTCAACTGGAGAGTCCTTTTGGCCAATCCTGGGAGAATTCACCATGTTCCAAAAGTTCTAAGCTAAGAGAGTAAGATCTTTTTTGTAGAAACCTGAAAGGTAGTTTAATTTCCTAAGAGGACAGACTTTGAAAGATTAGTGTAAGAACTTTATGTAAGAAGATTCTAGATCATGGTGAAGCTCAAGTGCAGTGAGAGCAGTGACTTCATGGGGTGGGGGAAACCACAGTAGCCCCAAGGGAATAAGGTACTGCCCTTTCTGAGAAAGGAAGGTTTAGTGGCCTTGTATGGGGGGAGAGGATAAAGGGAGGACAGAGCAGGGAGAAAAGGGAGTTGGAATCCGAATTACATTATTGGACTATCAAAGGAATACTGTTTTCCCACGCATACACTTCCCTATATATATCCTGAGGAAAACAATATCTTTCTCCTATTATTTTTTTAAAGATCTTTATTTACTTATTTGACATAGAGAGAGAGAAAGTGCACAAGCAGGGGGAGAGGCAGAGGAAGAGGAGAAGCAGGCTCCCCGCTGAGCAGAGAGCCTGATGCAGGGCTCCATCCCAGGACCCCGGGATCATGACCTGAGCCAAAGGCAGATGCTGAACAGACTGAGCCACCCAGGTGCCCCCCTAACTAGTTTTTTAAAAAGTAATATATACATGGTAAAAATTCATATAGTAGTATCAAAGGGTATTCATTGAAAGTAAATCTGTGCCCTACCCTAGGCCTCTATTATTCTTCCCCAGAGGTAACCACTATTAACATTTTCTAGTTTTTCCCCAGAACCTTTAAGTATATAATACATATTAATATAGCTATCTCACATGCAAATCTATCTACCTAAATGCAAATCTAATTATATATTTATATCTGTATTTTAAACATAGTTGGTAGCATCCTATCATCAAGAGCTCTCCATTTAAGTTTATAGAGGCATGTTTTTTGTGGTTGTAAGAACACATAACAGGAGATCTACCTTTTTACAAATTTGAGTGGATAGTATAGTGAGACGTTATTTTTTAAACACACTTCATGATATTCCTACTCTGACTGCATTATAGGTATTTAATTGGTCCCCTGTCGATGACCATTTAATTTTTTTCTAGTCTGTTGCTATTTTAAGCAATGCTGCAGTGAAAATCCTTGTACATATGTGTGTCTGCCAGAGTCCAGCAGAAAGCAGATGGTGTTTCTAAAAACTTACCTGAAGAGAGTTTACTGAAGGAACTAGGAACACAGGTGCTGGCAGGATTAATGGGCCCAAGAAAAAAACAGTTGAGTGCTTGGGGACTAGCAAGAGAAGCCTGCACCTCCCCTAGGCCCAGAGGGCTAAGTGGAAGGAGCAGTGTTAGTGGAAGCCAGTGAGCCGAACGCTGTGAGAAAGGCCGCCCAACGCTGTGAGAAAGGCCACCCAACAGGAGATGTGGCCACAGATTGAGGAACGCAGCCACTGCGCAAACTGCAGGCTTCAGAGTAAATATCCTGACTGCTCTCTCCTCTTGCTCTCTGGTTACCTGCTGGTACCACTGCCAGCTGCAAGTGAAAGCCAGAGAACGAGGACGCCCTAGTGATGCAGTCCGAGGAGGTCAGATCACAGGGTACAGGGAGGCCGAGTAGGGCCCAAGGACACGTCTGGAGGGATAAATGGAGAATAATCAGTCCCTGACTTAAACGTCCTTGACTTACAGTGATTAGACTTTGCAATGGTGGGAAAATGATAGCACTGAGTAGAAACTGTACTTTGAACTTTGATCTAAGTGCTAGTGGTAGGAGGTAGGATACCCTCTCGCGGTGCTGGGCAGAGCAGCCAGCCACAGCTCCTAGTCAGCCGCACGATTCTGTGCCCAGACAACCATTCGGTTTTTCACTTTCAGCACAGTATTCAAAGAAATACATGAGACTGTTAACACTTTAATGTACCATAGGTTTTGTGTTAGATGCTATCTATCGACCACCAGCACATGAAAGATGGGCTAGGCTAAGCTATGATGTTCAGTACATTAGGTGTATTGCAGGCATTTTTTACTTAGAATATTTTCAACCTACCACGAGTGTATCTGGAGAAAACTCCATAGTAAATCAAGGAAGATCTGTAATATGTTTTTGCACAAATGTTGGGAAATTTCTTAGAACTGGAATTGCCCTGTCAGCAGGAGGGAAAGACCTTCCTCCACCTCCAACCCCCCACCGCCTTCCCTTCATGGCCATTACCTGCGCTTAGCTGTGCCGATTGCCGATGGCTGCTCAGAATTAGGACTACATTTCCCAGCTTCCCTTGCAGCCAAAGCAATATAAGAGGAAGTGTCAGTCATGTGGCAGCTTCTGAGAAACTTGAGAGACAGCTGATGCATGCCTTTGTCCTTTGTTATTTATTCTTTGATGTAATTTACATGCTACCAGGAGCTCCAGGGCCACACCCTTTGGCTGGTGAGTAGAGAGAGAACTGGAATGAACTAGATTTCTGAGCACTTCATACAATATAGTTGCCCTACCAGTCTTAAACTGCACACCTCCAGATTTCATTTACTTGGGAGAGAAATACACTTTTACCTTGTTTAAATCATAGTTATTTTCTTGTCTGTGTTGTGCAGTCAAACCTAATCCTAATGAATGCATAATTAAACTGACTTTTCCAGACTGAGTTTGAATCCAGCTAGTCCATTCACACTACACATGTGACCTTGAGCAAGTTTCTTAACTTCTGTGCCTCCATTTTCTCATAGGGATGATGATAGAAAGGACTTCATTTTGTTGGTATGAGGGATAACTAAATGAAAATATCTGAAATTTAGACTAGTGTCTGTCCAATGTAGCAAACACTCAGTAAATAGAAGTTATTACCATTATTATTATTACCGTTATCATGCTTAATTGTCCTCTAAAGAAGATGTACTAGTTAGCCTATTAAATGCCCCTAATGTCTTTTTCCTCTTCCCTTATTAATACTGTGTGTTAGCAAAGATTTTTGCCTAACGAATAGTGTATTTCGTTTTTATTTTAAATTGCTTTCTAAAATTATGAGGTTGTACATCTTTACAGTTTTTAAAAAATCCATTTATATTTATTTTCTGGTGAACTTCCTTTTTGTGTTCTCTGTTCATTCTATTGGATTTTTGTTTTGTTTTGTGGTATGTCTTTTTTTAAAAAAGCAATTCAAGCATTATGGAAATTTGCCTTTTGTCTGCTATGGGTGGTGCAAATATTTTCCCTGATTTTCATTTGCTTTTCGACTTTATTTTTCTATTCAAAAAATTTAAAATTTCAATATAGTAAAAATGATCCTTCTCTACCACCATAATATCTGAGCTTAATGTTATTTTATTTTACTATTATTTTTTTAATTTATTTACTTATTTTAGAGAAAGAAAGAGTATGCACATGTACGTGAGCAGGGGTGGGGAGAGGGAGAGGGAGAGAGAGAATCCTTAAGCAGACTCCCTGCTGAGCAGGGAGCCTGACAGGGAGCTCGATCTCAGGACCCTGAGATCATGATCTGAGCTGAAACGAAGAGTTGGACACTTACTGGACTGAGCCACCCTGGCACCCCTTAATGTCCCAGTTTTTTTATTTATGTATTTATGTATGTATGTATGTATTTATCAGGGAGTGAGAGTGAGAGAGCACAAGCAGGGGGAGCAGAGGGAGAAACAGGCCTGAAACGGGACTGGATCCTCATGACCTGAGTGGAAGGCAGACACTTAACCGACTCCCTAATGTCCTTATTTTAGAAAGATCTTTCTCACTCTGGATTATGAAAACCATTCCCCCATGTTTTCTCCTAGGACTTTATAGATTGATTTATATAAGAAATATTTTCTTCATCTGGAATATAACTTGGGGTAGGCGGTGAGGTAAGATTTGAAGTAATTCTGCAGACTACTGTGTTGGAAGATGGACAAAAATGAGCCCTCTGACACATAAATCCTACATAAGTAAATTGTAGTTTACTTTGATCCACACAATAGATATATTTTAAACTAAGCATGCCAGGAGCCAGCCCACTTGCAGATGTTGGGTAAGCTTGCCTCCTCAGCTTTCTCTTCTTCTTGGAGGGAAAAAAAATAGGTTGTTTACAATGGCATTTTGTATTTCCAGGGTAAGGTCCCTCCAGGTCCAGCATAATCACTTTGCCAGGCTACAAGACTGCCTTTCACACATCACATTACCTGCTTCTCACTTCCTGGTCATGGGCACCAGAACCATCCTGCTACCTGTTCATAGGTTAGACAATAATGCCAAGACGTTTTTATACCTGTGCTAACCATGACCCATCTGTGGACATAGGCAGTCAGTAACCGCCCATGTTTTAAGGCCAAGGGGGTATTGAGCCCAGGACCTGCCACTAGGCTCCATCTTTGTTTCATTTTTTCTGGGGCGGTCACGGGGGAGGGGGTTGTCAGTTGTTATAATGGTTGAGAACACAAGCTCTAGAGTAAAACTAACTATGTACTTCCAGCTTGAGCTATGGGGACAAAAGCCAAGTTTCCTTCACTTTTTTGTGCTAAAATGGACATTATAACTTAGTGTGAGGATTAAATAAATATATTTCAAGTGCTTAAGAATTTCTTAGCAATGATCAGCAAATATTAAAAAGGCCTTTCCCAATCCAGAATATAAAAATAACTTCCCTGTTTTTTCCTAGGTTTTTACAGATTCGTTTTTGTAAAAAAGATGAATAACATTTATAACAAATATTATAATAAGTGTATAACATAATAAAAATTAAATATTTGAAGAAAAGTATTATAACTTTATGAATAATATCATTATTACTATTATTTGAAAAATGCATTTACTTTGAAATGTTGCCTTGGTTATATACTAAATTTGCATATGCCTTTGAGTCTAGTTCTGGATTCTCTGTCCTGATTTATTCATTTAGCTTAACCACATTTGCATTATAACATACCTTATTATCTGGTAGAATTTGTTTAATTCTTATGCTTCCTTTCAGAAAATTTTTCTGGCTAAGTGTGAATTTTGATATTTATACAATAATCTTAGAACCAGCTGCTCTGATTTAAAAAAAAATCAATATTTTATTGGGGTTGCAACAAATTAACATATTAATTTAGAGATAATTAGCATTCTTACAATATTAACTTTTCCTATTCCAATACAAGGAATAGCTCTATGTTTATATTCAAGCTGTTTTTTAAAAAATATCTCTCAGAAGAGTTTTAAAGTTTTCTGAAAGTCTTCTTTATATATTTCTTGCATGTTCCTTGTTAAGTTCCTTCCTTCCTTCCTTCCTTCCTTCCTTCCTTCCTTCCTTCCTTCCTTCCTTCCTTCCTTCCT